AGTGAGCATGTGTTGCTAAAACCTGTTCTGTATTCTGGGCTCAGGCAGTAAACAAACCAGAAAAAAAAAAAAATCCCTGCCCTTTTGAGACTTACATTCAATTTGAAGAGGGAAAGTTGATTTTAAAATTTCAAATCAACATACTATATAATGCCAGAGCATGGGAAACAGTGGGAAGAGCAACACAGAGGCAAGGAATGGAGCGTAACAGGAATACACTTTTATGGGATGATCAGCAAAGGCATGACAACTTGGAGATAGATAACTGCCGTTGAAGACAGACTACAAAAACACCAGTTTGTGTCAAGTTCATGGAAAACAAGGAAAGATTGAAAGATGATGCCAGAATGACGGAGAGTACAGAAACATGACAAGTAAAGGAAGCCTGTAGTTTAGATGGTAGTTGTGGACTGATGTTAATTTCCCAATTTTGAAGGCAAAATAATGATTGTCAGGGACATGGTCCTTGTTTGTGGGAAATTCACACTGAGATATTAGGAAATTGTGGGGCATTAGGTCAACAATTTACCCTGGAAAGGCTCAGGAAAAAACAAGTCATTTGTGTTCTACTTGTAATGTTTATGAAAGCTTGAGATTATTAAAACCCCCAACACCAATATTTTCACATTAGAGCAATCCCAATACATAATCCTCACTAACACTTCTTTGTCCTTAGCACCCAGTGAGTGAATCTTTTTTTTTTTTTCCTGACACAGGTTTTAACAGTCATAAATCATCTATCAGCCCTGGCTGATGTGACTCAATGGATTGAGTGCCCGCCTGCAAATCAAAGGGTCGCCAGTTATCATGCAACCCTGAACATTTTAATTGAAGACATTCTTAGCAAAGCAGGTTTCACAGGATTTTATGCATTCTTTTTTAGGCCTGATCACCCTAGGGAACCCGCCCTTTCCAGCACAGGGCCACACCCACCTCCTGCATTGTTTCACGTTGAAGTCAGGCAGGGGAAGTAAGGCAGCCAAGAGATTAGCAGACTTCTTACAGATAGAATGAGGACTTGAGCTATGACAAAGCCAAAGGGTGAGGGTCCATCACCCCTTCTCTAGAGTCCCCTAAGTCCTTCCCTGATGGCCCCTTTGTGACCATGCCTATCTTAGGTTGTCCCTCCCTTGAGGAGTCTTACCTGTCATTGGCTAACCAATCATCCGCCAGGGGCCAAGCAAGGTGAAGTAAAGGGGGCAGAGGCTGCGCCCCTGCTGGGGGGATAAGCTTTGTCTCCTTTAGTGGCTTATGGTCCCAAGACCTTTTTACTCTGCCTTTGCCATGGGGAGGTGGGGGGGGGGGGGCTACAGCTTCTGAAACCAGGCAGGGTGGTTCCCAACCCCTCCCTTCCCCTCTCTCTAAAAATAAATAAATAAAACCCTACACCCCCCAAAAAACAAACTCATCACTTTCTGATTTACATAAACCAGTAAATAGATAGATTCTGTGTCATCACACTATCTACAGGTCAGGAGGGTACAAGTTTCTGAGCACTAACCAAAGGCTAGTGCTGAGGGAGAGACCTGCAATGGGAACTGGCTTGCTAGTCTCACTCCAGCCTTTTCAAGATTTCAAAAGTGGGCGAGTTTCCTGAAACCTGGTCTCAAAGGCATTCAAATGTTATACTAATTGGCAAGCATTAAAAAAAAAAGTCAGCTAGTACCAATTTGTAAGAATCAACTTCATTTGGGTTCAAAAATTAGTTGCAGTGAACTATTATTGAAATAAAGCACACCAATCCCTAAATATGAGCAAAACCAAAAAAATCCACAAAAAACAAAAAACAAAACAACTATTGCTTTTAGAACTGTTTTTGCTCAGATAGCTAAAGAAATACATTTTAATAACATCTCAGTCAACTTGCCACAGGGAAACAGTTGCTATGAAGTAAACCTCTTAAGGAAAAAAAAACTGTCTAGTGCAGAGTTTTGAGGACCCTAAAAGCCTACTATTCTTACTGCATTTTCCTTTCTTTTCTCCCCTGACCTTTTTAAAAAATATATATATTAAACTTAAAACTCGAGAAGCTTGGAGAAGCAGAATCAATTTCTGCCTTTGGGCTGCCATCTAGTGTCAAAACAAAGAACACATTTCCCTGTTGTAAATTTGGTAGTGAGAATATTTTCAATATGACAGAAGTAGAAGCTGCTAGCATAGAATATTTAAAAAATAAAAATGAGCTCCATTTAAGGTGTACAGCCTGCTGATTAGACATACATAGAGAAGAGATTACTACAATCAAGCCAATTAGCATTATTTCCTCAGAGTTACCATTTTTCGTCTGCACCTGATGTCTACTCTTTTAGGTATTTCCAGTGTTTGTACAGTAATAAATATGGTCATCATGCCTGTAAATTAGACCTCTAAAGTTATTTATCTGATGTCACTATAACTTTGTAGCTTTAACTAACGCTTCCCCATCCCCCAGCTTCCCAACCCCTCCTAAACCACACTGTTCTGCTCTCTGCTTCTATAACTTGGTTTTTTTTTAAGATTCCACAAACCATACATAGCTGTGTTTGTGTGTATGTATGTATGTGTAGATAGGTAGATGGACAAATAGACAGACCTAAATGCCCATCAATGGATAAAGAAGATGGGAGCTACAGAGAGATCGTTTGCATATCTTGGCTGTTGGGAATAAGGTTGTACAGTGCGTGGAAGTGCAGATATCTCTTCAAGATCTTGCTTTCCATTTCTCCAGGTAAATACTCAGAAATTGGGTGGCTAGGTCATCTGATAGTTCTATTTTAAAACTTTTTTGAGGAAACTTTACAGTGTTTTCCACAGTGACTATACCTATTTGCATTCCCACCAACAGTGCACAAAGGTTCCCTTTTCTCCACATCCTTGCCAGCACCATAGTTCTTGTCATTTACTTAGTAGTCATTCTAACAGGGGTGAGGTGATATTTCCTTGTGGTTTTGGTTTGTGTTTCCGGGATGATCAGCATTGTTGAGCATCTTTTCATGCACCTGTCGGCCATTTGTATGTCCTCTTTGGAAAAAAGTGCCTGTTCAGTCTCTTCTACCCAGTTTTTAATTGGATTGTTTGTGGGGTTTTTTGGTTTTTTTGGTTTTTGGTTTTTTGCATTTGAGTAGTGGGAGTTCATTACATATTTTGGATATTTACCACTGACCAGATATATGATGGGCAAATATTATCTCCCATTTGGTAGGTTGCCGCTCAGTTTGTTGATGGTCTCCTTCACTTTTCAGTTTGATGCTGTTCCACTTGCTTATTTTTGCTTTTGTCGCCTATGCTTTTGGTGTCAAATCCAAATGAGTTGGTATCAAATCATTGCTAAGAAGTGTGTCAAGGAGTTTACTCCATGTGTTTTGCTCTAGAAGTTTTATGGTTTCAGGCCTTAAATGTAAGACTTTAATTCATTTTCAGTTGGATGGATTTATTTATTTGTTTGTTTGTTTATTATCACAAGGGGATTTTTCTTGTTCCTACCAGCCCCGGTCAGTATGAGTGTCCTAGGTTTATGCCTCATCTGATTAGAAGAAGTTAATTGGACAAAATCTACCCAATCTAGGAAACAACAGTTTCACAAAAGCTCACCTCACTGGCTTCACATCCAAGAGCTGGTGAATGGACTGGCCCACTGCTCTCCTTCAGAAGAACCACCACATTAACCTGGCATATATAGAGGATTTACAGTTTTGATGGCGGCCCCATCTAGGAGGATTTGGGGAGGATTGGGGGGTTTTCAGCCCTTCTTGAATCATTCCAAACAAAGCTCATTTTTCCCATAAGTAAAATAGTCTGTTCCTATTTAATATATTGTGCATGAGGTCTAGGAAGAAAGCTGAGAAATTCAATTACTCTTTCAGAGGAAAACTAAGAAATGAACTAAGGTGGAATCTAGTTCCACTTAACAGAGGCCGGAAGCAATCTTTCTGCCTAGGTCTCCAAAATTGTCACTACCCATGGGTTGGGTTCAAAAGCTGGTGGCTGTTGACCATGAGCCAATCTGAGAGTCTTGAGGCTCAAGGAAATACTGTCATCCTATCAAAAAGGGAAATATGCACTTGTATTTTCTTCACATTTCCCTAAAGGTTGCACTCTTTTAATCGCTACAGAAACAAGAGAAATCATTTTGAATTAAACCAAGCTGAGGTTAAATAATCCCCAAATATAGAATTATTATTTTTCTGTTCATAATGTCGTAAGTGTAAATCTCCCATTTAAAACCGATCCCACTGGTGGTAGGTAGCTCAGTGGTTCTTAACTCTCAGAGAGCCAGTGCCTTACCTTTTATGGCAAGTATGTGGTAAGACTTTTACCATCCTAAAATAAACTTCACAGATAATATAAACCTCCTAAACTGTTATAGACATAGTGCCCTGACTGTAATATAAATAACAAAAGCTCTTTGTAATAAAATAACATGCATTTCAGAGTGTGACTGTTCCATCTTTACAAAGGAGGCGGTGTGTTGGCGCCTGCATTCCACACCGACCTGAACACAGCACCTGCAAGTACTGCTCACGAGCACGTTGTGTTGTTTACAATGCCACAGACGGTGTTGCCACTGATGCTGTGACTTTCCAAGTGAACAACTCTTAGTAAAGGTCTAAGGAAAACAGCATGAAATCTTTCCCCAATATCCACAGTAGCTGCATTTGGGGGAAATTCAAACTATTAAAGCCATACCAAGACGAGACTATTTGTTTATGAAAATTGATTAAAACCTAACTGCTCTGATTATTACGAGCATATGTTTTACTTCATGAAAGTCTGAAGAACATTCAAATACGAACCAAGACCTGGTAATTCTCCATTGTGCAAACAGCTGCGTGCGAGGCAAGATGTCCTGTCTCTGGCCCCAGTCACCAAACACCAGCAGTGCCCCCTTACAATGGTAATATCCAAAAGTGACTTGAAAGTCATGGCCAGCCCCACCCCTGCAGGAGAGGTATTTTCATAGCAATGAGAGACAAAGCATAGGCAACTTGAAAACTTTAGTTTATTCTGTAAATATTGTTGAATAAGATAGATGATAGAATATGCCATTTCTTTATTTTGGGTAACATTTCTTATAGGTCCACAGAAATAGGCCCTTCATTATAATACATAATAATACAGAAAAAAAGCAAAATTGTCTGACGTCAACATATTTCAAATGTGGAAGAAATTATAATACAATCTATAAGTTAACAGATATTATGATAGTGAGACAAGACACATATGCAAAAAGAGAAAGTTAATGTAATTCCCATACAATTCTTTTTTTTCAAAATTTTGTACTTGTTTCTGGTGTACAGCATAGTGGTTAAACAGTCATATACTTTACAAAGTGTTCCCTTCAGTATTTTTGGTACCCACCTGGCACCACACATAGTTATCTCAATATTACTGACTGTATTCCCTGTGTTGTACTTTACATCCCCGTGACTGTTCTGTAACTTCTTAATTGCTCCACCTTTTTTCACCCATATCCACAACCCCATCTCATGTGGCAACCCTCATTTTGTTCGCTGTATCTATGAGTCTGATTCTCTTTTATTTTGTTCTTTATATTCCACATATAAGGGAAATCATATGGTATTTGCCTTCTTCTGACTGACTTATTTCACTTAACATAACAGCCTCCAGTTTTATCCATGTTGTTGCAAATGGTAACATTTCCTTCCTTTTTATAGCCTAGTCCACTGTATACATGTACCACATCTTCTTTAGGCAATCATCTATTGATGAACACTTGCGTTGCTTCCAAATTTTATTGTAAGTAATGCCTCACCGCACATAAGAGGGTATGTATCTTTTTGAATTAGTGTTTTGGATGTCTTGTATGTCTTTGGATATATCCTCAGAAGTGGAATTGCTGGGTAATAAGGTAATTTCTATTTTTTAATTTTTTGAGGAGCCTCCACTGCTTTCCCCAGTGGCCGCATCAGTCTGCGTCCCCAACAACAGTGCACAAGGGTTCCCTTTTCTCAACAACATCACCAGCACTTGTTGTTTGCTGATTTATTGACAACGGCCATTCTGACAGATGTGAGGTGACATGGCATTGTTTGAATTTCTCTGATAATTACTGACATTGAGCGTCTTTTTTATATGTCTGTTGGCCATCTATGTGTCCTCTTTGAAGAAATGTTTATTCATGTCTTCTGCCCATTTTGTACTTTAATTTTTTCATTAAGTTCTATGAGTTCTTTATAAATTTTGGATATTAACCCCTTACCAGAAGTATCATTGGCAAATATATTTCCCCGTCTGGTAGATGATTTTCATTTTGTTGATGGTTTTCTTTGCCATGCAAAAACTTTCTGGTTTGAGGTGGTCCCATTTGTTTATTTTTTTCTTTTGTTTCCCTTCCCCAAGGAGATACAAGAGAAAAAACAATGTCAGAGAGTTTATGGCCTGTGTTTTCTTCTAGAAGTTTTATGGTTTCAGGTCTTACATTTCAGTCTTTACTCTGCAGTTTTATTCTTATATATGGTATTAAAAAGGCAGTCTATTTCATTTTTTGCATCTGCCCAATTTTCCCAGCATCATTCATTGAATAGACTGTCTTTACCCCATCATATAGTGCTGCCTCCTTTGTCATATATTAGTTGACCATATAGGCATGGGTTTATTTATGGCTCTCTATTCTGATCCATTGGTCTATGTGTTTCTCATAAATAATTTTAAAAGTTTAAAAATAATTTTAAAATATTTCATTATAACAATCTTCTTACAAATTTTATGAGTGTTAAAAAATTTCTTAAAATTTCTATAGATCTTAGAAATTTTCTTACAAATATTATGGGTCAAATGAGAAAGAAAAAACTAAGCAAAATGGGAAAAGAATGCAAATAAGTACAAATATATATGTAATACATACATACATACACATATATACATATATATGTGTGTGTGTAACTTGAAAGAAAAAAGGATACTAAAAGAAAATTTAAAACAGGCGATAATTTTGGAATAAGTTAAATGCAGTGTGTTGCTGCCTTTTCTTCCTCAAAATTAATTTCCATAACTCAATAAAAAATTACTGATCAAAATTAGTGATTAAAGAAACTTACGGGGAGGGGCATTTCTTGTTCATCTGTTGCATTTCTGGGTCCATATAGCATAACAAATTAAGAAAAATCTTTAAATCATGAACATGTGTGTCTCTATTTAAAAAAAGTTACTTTAATTCATTTATTTCTTCTATTCCTACCAAGGATTGCTTCAGGATCTCTGAAGCATTAAATATGAAACTGAATCATTTCCTTAGGAAATTTCAAGATTATGAAACTTTGAGAGAAATAGTAGAAACACGAGCAGGAGGGGAGAAAACCCACAAGCTTACGTAGTAACTTAGCATCCTAATCTCATAGTCCCATGATTTTTCTACATATTTCTCAAAAGTTTTATTTTAAAGAATATGGTTTCCATTTATTTAAACATATACAACTTTAAGGGTTGAAGAGAACTCTAAAGATTACAGTATAGCTTTCTGTCTCCAAGGAAAATGTAAATTAACTTTGTACCATGACCTCTAGAAATTCTTCAAAACAGAAAAGGAAAAAAAAATGAATTACTTCCCTTGGGAATAATGCCTAATAGCACATTGGTCAGGAATATTCTCTCAGTTACACTTTCACCATCACTTAGATATATTTAGTACATTTATAAATGGTTTTTAGAAACGCTGAGGGAGTTGATCCAAGCCCTTAAACTTGACCTTTCAATGGATAACTCTAGATAGCCTTGCGAGAGTAGAAGGCCAGGAGTTCTTTTTCTCTTGCTTTCCAGATAAGTGACCTCCTACCAGAATTATGATAATCTAGGGAAGTTTCTTCCTGGCCTCCCCACTTATCTGTTTTTCTGTCAGCGTGTGAGTATAATGAACGTCTTATCTAGTGAGCACAGTCAAGTTTGTGCTCTCAAGCTGAGTCATAGCCAGAATTAGTTGACCTCAGGTTTTATGTGGAATGTCAAGAACCAGCTACCAGGCTTAAGAAACACCACGTTTCTGACTCAGGAAACAAAAATAAACTAGCGAAATTCAGAAACCATTAGAGCCCTGGTGCCTGGACAGGCCAAGTAGACAGTATGTTGAAGAATAATGCAGTATTGCAACTCCGGGTGGATGGAACACTACTGGCCTTTGCATGGGCATCAGTTAGAGATAGCAGGGACTAAATAAGGACTGGAATGAAATGGATGCTCTGGCATTTTACAGTCCTTTTGTCTGACTGCCTTAAGACAAGGTTTTAACTGAGTAATAGAAATGCCCTCCTACCTCCCCCTACCCATTTTCACTCCCAATATAAAGGAAGCAAACCTGAATACTGTGTTTGGTGGCTAACGACACAAAAGGCAATTCCACAGGTCAATTATCTTTTGCTTAAACCAATGGCTTCCCCCAAGAACAAAGAGCAGCAAATCAAAGCAGCTGATCGCCGTCACACTCAAGAAGATTTCATTATAAAATGCCACATGGTTGTTGCAGGCATCTGAGTGTACCACAGTGTTCAAGTAATAGATCCTAAATAACTGGTAGGGAAGGAAGCAAATCATGATGACCCCTATGAAAAACAGGTTTTTCAGCTGGGCCCAGAACTCCTGGTGGGACAGTAAGGAGTGGCGCAGCTTCCGCACCATCGACGTGATGATGAAGATCTGGAATACCAACAGAATCACCGTGACGGCTATGACAGCAATGACGATCAAATAGTTGATGATTTGCACGTATGTTTCAGCAAGCTCTTTGTGGAAATTAAAACACTGTTCTTTGTTATACATCTTAAGATTTCCATACTGAGAAACAATCAGGGGCACCACAATGACAATCACCAGCAGCCACAGGCCAGCACTGGCGGCCACAGCATGCAGTTTTCTATAGAATTCCACCTTGTCCTTGTGCTTGAAGAACATGAGGTACCTGATGATCAGGATCACCACGTAGAACAGGAACGTGAGGTACATGTGGATGTGCAGCATGGCACTCACGAATTTACAGAAGGGCAGCCCAAATGTCCACCTCTGCTGGATGAGGTAGATCAAGCGGAAAGGCACGGTCAGCAGGAAGACACTGTGGACCACCACCAGGTTAACAACAGCCATGGTGGTCACAGAGCGGGTGTTCATTTTCACCAGCAGGAACAAAATGGAGATGACGCCCGCCAGCCCCCCAGTGAGCACCATGAAGTAGAGTGTGGTTAAGTGGGGTGTCAGCATCGGCCTGCAGGAGGAGTCATTGTGGGCACTCATACTTCAGAAGTCACCTGGAAGAGACAAGGCACCAGTGTAACTGACAAACCACGTGAGCTTTTCGTACACGCCTCCCTAGTACCAGCAATCTGTGGTTTTGACATTTATCTGTGTACAGGATGTAAGCTTTGTGTGCCTTCAGAATGAAGACTATGCCATATGCATGTCTATATACTCTAGACCGAAAACACAGTAAGTCATTGATTATTTATTTTTAATAGGTTAAAGACCCCATGCAGAGGTGCCCAGAAAGCTATATACATATATATGCACTTGTTCAAGATGTTTGCAGAAAACTGGACTGCAGACCACCTGCCGCTGAAACGTGGATATTAGCCCTGCAAGCACCACTGGGAAAAAGTGATAAGATGATGCGAATCCCCAAAAATATTTTTCCTTTTAAGTATGATTCTAATTGTCTAATTCCTTCCAACTCATCAGTAAATGATCCAATAATATTTATACTTGATTTGTTTAAAATACTGATTAGTTTGGAAAAAGAAATGTGGCTAAATCAAGACAGCAGAAAGCAAGAGGAGGGCATATCTGGATTTTTCATCACAGTTACAATATTGTCTAGCATTAGAGCCTGGGCTCAGCCTGTTCGCATGAGCCCCACTGGAAACGCAGCATGCTTCCCCATTTTCCCACCCCCAACCTCAAATGCATAAAGCAAGTCATTGTTCCTCAGGACTTGGAATATTCTTTCTCTAAATGGACTCAGTACCTTCTAATTCATTATCTACATTCTAACTTATTTACTAAATGAAAAAAATTGGTAATCTTTTAATTATACTAATTGAGTCATTTCACTTTCTTATTTAAATTCCCCTTTATTTTACAAAAGAAAAGGATCGAAACCCTTACAAGTTTAGAATGTCCTGGATTACAGCAAAATCTGATCTTTTGAGGCCTGATTCAAGCAATTATGCAGAAGTGACACGGACAGGACTTGGCAGGCCAGATCTGGGGAAATGGGGGGAAAGAAGTGTCTCAACTATGCCCAGATTTCTGACTTGAACTCTGTGTGATTACAGGTCTGTTTCCTGACACCAGCGAATCTGAGGATCACATTTAAGAAAGAACAGTAGTTACGGTATGCGCTTAGTACCTGACCTTTGTAATACATTGACAGTTAGTCTTATGCATTTCTTCAATATCTCTTTATACAGTCAAAATTACCCCAAAATTAAAATGAACCAACTGGTAACTCACAATACCAATGAATGGCAAAAGCATCTTACTAAATCATGTGTCCTCAGCATCTCCCCCAAGTGGTCAAAATTTATTCTTGAGGTGTGACAAATTTTACTTTTTATGTATAAAACACACATATGTACATATACTATGTAAACAGACATACAGCCTATCAGTGTTATTAAAATTTCATAAGGAAGTGTAAAACAATTAGGAAAAAGATTACTAAAAAAGGCTGCTTAGAGGGGCAATGATAAAAAGAAAGTTGAGAAACACTTTACTAAATAGAGGATTCTGGTCCCTAAAGACTACATATTGTATGACTTTAAAACAAAAAACAAAAAACTAATGAAACTAAAAGGAAATCAGTGTAGTTCAGGGCCCAGGTAGGAGGGGAAGGTGTTGACTTCAAAAGGGTAACTTTTGGGGCAGAATATTTTATATCATGCCAGTTACTTCTATAGTTATTTATCAAAGCTCATCATATGTACGCTTCACATTGGTCAAGTTCCTTGCATGTAGCTTCTACCTCAATACAACCAATGTAAAATGATGATGAGGATGACTAAGCCCTGACCCCAGATAGCCTCTGCTTTGGGGGGCATGAAATACAATTTCTCTGTGACCCACTTAAAAGGTTGACTGCTGTTCTACTTGTTCTGTGTGATGTGTCATCTCCATACTCGCAAAAAGTGGTTCTGTCAAGTAGACATGAAACGGTATTATGTTCATAGCTAAAGCAAGGATGAATATCCCACTAAGTTCTGCTCATCATTTTCTTGGGCTACTGACCTAGAATGACCAACACTAGAAAGAAGAAAGTAAAACCCATGGCATTATTATCTGGCTCAAGTCCTCCTTCTTTCTCATAAACTGCCCTGGTCTCTCTCTTTCAGGCATAAGAAGCCCATGTGAAATCTCTTCCATGCTTGCAGTGGTACTGGAGACGCATGCCCACATGTGGACTCATTCAGTCCTCCCCGCAGCCCTGTGTGCTGTGCGTGTGTGGCTATCAAGTGTCAGATGAAGAAACTGAGTCCTGGGCAGGTTAAGTCATTTGGTCAAGGTCTCCAAAGTCATACACACACACCCCTTCTTATTGTCCTTCCTGGAGAAGTGAGTTTGCATCTCTTAAGAAGGAGGGGAGGCCCTAAGAAATTTGGTTCTAATCACATGACTTGTATGCCAATATATCTGGAAAGCACCTCTGTGTTCGATTTGTCACCTTCCTATTTCCTTTACTTGGTTTACAGCAGATTCTACAAGTTAGTTCATACTTAGATGGCATTTCAAGTTAGATGGCAGGGACGTGTCTGGGTGCTCTGGCTGGGTCAGCTCTGAACGGCCCTGAGGCCCAGTGCTACTCATCATGCTCTTCTGGAAACTGCAGGCAGAGTCGACACTGCTTCGGTTATTGCCTCAGGGTGGTGCTGGATGTGTTCTTTTGACTCCACGAATCACGGCTTTGTGGCAGCATGCCTGGTTCCCAGATGTTCCAGGATATTTTTCTTAAGTCATCCTAAGTGGGTTCTGTTGTCTGCAGGTAATGACCCTGACATACCTGGTTAATTCCTGTTCCTCCTTCAAGAATCAACAGGGGCATCATGCCCCTCCCCATAAGAGGTCTTCTCCAATCTCAGCTCCCACACAGAGGGTGTCCTACCCCCCTCAGTCTGTTTCAGCATTTATCACACAGACCATTAGCTCCCAGGTATACTTCTCATACCACATGACACTAACCAGAGAAGAATTAATGAAGCTTTTAAAATTAATGTAAATATTGGACTTCCGCCAAGATTGAGGCGTAGGTGGAAACACCTTGCGTCCTCGCACAACCAAATCTAAAAACAATAAAGTTTTAACAACAATAAATGCAATCAAATCACACAGAAAATCGACAATACGGAGTCCGAAAACAACGAAATGCTCAGCTAAACCGGTAAGAGGGGCGAAGCCAGCAGCAGAGTGGGTTAGCCAAAAATATCCCTGACCAGGGTGGTGTGCAAGCAGCCAAAGGCGCGGATCCCAGGTGCGGGCTAGCTATGGGCGGACACAGGGAAGAGGTGAGGCTGGCTGTCTGCGGTAGGTCGAGCATTTGTGTGCTGATAACCCAGTGAAGAGGAGAGCACTGAGACCACATGGTGCAGGGCAGCAGGCTTGCACATTTCGCTCAGATAAACAGGTGGGGGCGAGTGGAGAGGACCGCCATTGCTCCCTCTCTGACCATGCTCCCACATACAGCGTCACAAACTTGGGTGGCCCCGCCCTGGTAAACAACTAAGGTTCAGCTCCTCATACATAACAGGCACAAACAGATAAAAACATGGCTCAAGAACAACTCAGAGCCCCAGAGCCAATAAATCTAAGCTATGAAGAAATAGCCAAACTTTCAGATGCACAGTTCAAAACACTGGTGATCAGGATCCTCACAGAACTGGTTGACTTTAGTCACAAATTAGAGGAACATATGAAGGCTAAACTAATTGAAATGAATGGTAATGCACAGGAAACCAATGGTAATGGAAAGGAAACTGGAACTCAAATCAAGGGAGTAGACCAGAAGGAAGGAAAAAATGACCAAACAGAAAAGAATGAAGAAACAAGAATTCAAAACAATAAGGAGAGGCTTAGGAACCTCCAGGACATCTTTAAACGTTCCAACATTCAAATTATAGGGGTACCAGAAGGGGAAGAGGAACAGTCACGAGTGGAAACCTTATTTGAACAAATAATAAAAGAGAACTTCCCCATTCTGGCAAAGGAAATAGACTTCCAGGAAATCCAGGAAGCTCAGAGAGTCCCAAAGAAGTTAGACCCAAGAAGGAACACACCAAGGCACATCATCATTATATTTGCCAAGATTAAAATGGAGAATCCTAGAAGCAGCAAGAGATAAGGGGACTGTCACCTACAAAGGAGTTCCCATCAGACTGTCAGCAGATTTCTCAAAAGAGACCTTACAGGCAAGAAGGGGCTGGAAAGAGGTATTCCAAGTCATGAAAACAAAAGACCTACAACCAAGATTGTTCTATCCAGCAAAGTTTTCATTTAGAATGGAAGGACAGATAAAGTGCTTCTCAGATAAGACCAAATTCAAGGAGTTCATCATCACCAAGCCCTGATTATATGAAATGTTAAAGGAACTTACCTAAGAAAAAGAAGATAAAAAACATAAACAGTGAAAGGACAGCAAACTCACAGTTATTAACAACCACACCTAAAACAAAAGCAAACTAAAAGGACAGCTAGATCAGGAGCAGAACCATAGAAATGAAGATCACATGGAGGGTTAGCAACAGGGGAGTGGGCGGAGGAGAAGGGGGGAGAAGGTACAGAAATTAAGTAGCACAGACAGTAGACAGAAAATAGATAGGGGGAGGGTAAGAATAGTAGGGGAAATACAGAATCTAAAGAATTTGAGACACGTGTTCATGAACTAACGGGGGAAATGGTGGGGGAGGGGTGTGCAGGGTGGAGGGGAACGGAGGGGAGAAATAGAACAAATGTAATGGCATAATCAATTAAAAAATTAATGTAAATATTGCTATCTCTTTGATCTTATCTCCTACAACTACCCCTTTTATTGGTATATTCCAACTAAACGTAGTAACTCTTTTCTTTTCCTCAAACATCCCTGATGGGCTCCTACCTCAGGGCCTTTGCACAGGAAGTCTCCCCTTCAGGAGTGGCCTTCAGCTCCTTCACATCTGTGTCTAAAGGTTGTTTCAGTCATTCCTTGCCTGGCCTGCGTATCTATAACACCCACACTGAGTGTCTTCCAGCGCAACCCCTCCTCTTGGCTATGCCATCACTCTTCACAGCATGTATCACCGATACACCACAGGTGGTCTTCCCTGTTTATGTGTCTCTTTGTTCCTTCCACTAGGATTCAAGCTCCTTAAGGACAAGGGGTTCTGTTTTGCTCATCTGTTTACTTTAAACACCTGAAACAGTGCTTTGCACTTAATAGCTTCTTAATAATTAATTGTTGAATGAATGAAAGCAAACATCCTTAAAGTTCCCATAGAGGGAAAACAAAACCGATTATCTATAAAAGAATTAGAAATAAGTCAGCATCAGACTTTTGACATTTGAATGCTGGAGAAAAGATCTTAATGGATTTGAAAGACGATTTTGAATTTAGAATTCTATTTTCAACCAAACTAGCTTTCCAGAGTAAGAGAAGAGGAAAGTCATTTTCTGACAGTTGAGCACCCAGGAGGTTGCTCTCTCTCAGGTCCTGCCCGAATTATCAATGTATATCCCAGCAAAACAAAAAAGGATATACGGGGTGCTGAAGATAGAGTGGGAAAATGAAATATAAGTGAAACACAATGAAATCTAAAATGAGCTCTTAAGAATACAATACCCAATGGGTTTAATAAACAGAAAGCAGAGAATTTGGATGTTAAGATTTTTGCCTTGTTGGGGAAATAGCATTTAACTGTAGAGTAACAAAAAAATGTGATTTTAAACTCTCGATGAACATTCAAGAATGATAACTTGATGAATAGGAGTTTATCTTGGTTACAAACGATAAGAAGGAAAAAGGGTTACAGAAAGCCCAGTGAATCCGAGCAGAGGCAGGAAGGGAAACAAATAAACAGAAAACAAACAAGAAAACATGGCAGACAGACAAATTTGAAAGGAAAGTAGAAAGGCCAGACATATTTGAAATCATAATCAATATAAACTATGTTTTGTTCATCCATATACAAACAAGAGAAACTGTGTACAACTCTGTGAATATACTAAAAACCACTGAATGTGCTATAAAAACAGCAAAATTTATGGTATATAGATTATATCTCAATAAAACCGTTATTTAAATAGAGGGAAGGAAAACAGCTCTCTGAACTGAGCTTCTGATGATGAGGAAGAAGAGGGAAAGCCGTTAGGCAGAAGCAAAGGATTGAGGCGGAGAATCATGGGGCCCCGGGCTGCGTTCATGCTGGGGGCAGAGCAGTGAAGTACGACTCACAGCCCCTGGTCAGCCAGCTGGCCAGCGCGGCCACTGCTGGGAGCTTCTTTCGGGTGACCTAGCCAGACTCGGGATGAAAGTCCTGTCCCAATGAGCCTGTTCTTCATTCCTCTCTGCTTCCCACTCCATCCCCGGATTCACTTCCTCCTGCTGCACATGCAGCAGATGGACCTGTGGGCCAGTGCCCCTCCCTGGCCATCCCATCTGAGACCAGCCCTAGCCCAGTCATTTTCTCCTTAGAACGTATCAGCCTCATTTCACTCCCCCACCCCCTCTGGACCCCCAGAAACGAAGGAGTCACGAAAGCTGTCTAAGTCACCACTGAGTCCCCAGGGCCAGCGGAGCACCCGTGACGGGGTCAGAAGGCAGAATCACAGAACTTTACTTTTAGAGGAAAGCCTGGAGATCGCTGGGTCCAACATGCCATTTACACTAGGAAGACGCTGTTCCCTCCTCCACACTAGCACCTTTGCTAGGTCACACAAAGGCCCCTAAAGCTAAGCTAGGTGTTCCTGCCATAACTGTCCCCTACTACTAGAGGAGCACTCCAGGGGCCTGGAGAGGTGACGGCCAGCTCCTCAGTGGCAGAGCCATACTTTAAGCCCACCCCATGCACCCCTCTTCAGGGACCAGTTAGGAGCAGGAGGAACATGCAGCCAGGGCTAGAAGAGGCAGAACAGAGAGCAAAGGTGGCCGTTGGACAAATGGCTTCCCTGCCTTTCAGATATCCTTAGAGCACGTTATATCCATTGCATTTGCTGAAAACAAATAGGATCATTCGCTTTAGTCACTCTGGGAAAACTGAGCAGCACTTTACCCAGAATAGTTTTGGAAAAGGCCCTGGAATGATGGCTTCACAAAAAGGACCGCCTCAAGGTAGCTAAAGAAAAAAAACTGAAAATAGCAGGAGCAGTGTGGAAAACAGCGAAACAGAAATGTCCGTTGTAAAGAAATCCATTTGAGAGAATCAAATGCCCAGCTAGCATATAAAAAAGCTCCCTTTCCTTCCCCCCACCCCCCGTGTTTGTACTGCTTGCTGACATGGTTTTAAGGAAAGGTAGATCTGCAGCCCCACTAATCAAAAAAATCAGTTTGAACCAAGAGCTTTCTGGCTTCGAGCTTTTATTTCTGCAGTCATTTGGGGAGTTGGACACTCCCTAGCTTATAGCTTCTAGTGACCAACAAAGGAAGTGAAACTGAAGTTGAGGCCCCAAGAAACTGAAAACTCAAGAGGCTTTGTGTTCCTTCAGAGCGAGAGCCACACCACTCCCAGAAGCCTCCTCAGCACACCATTTGCCACCTGCTTTCTCCAAAATAAGGAGCAGTCCGAGGAATCTTCCCACTCTAGGGGAGAGCGCTGCACAGATCTGCAGGTCTGTAAGTATTACAATGTGCTGTGAACTTTGATCATCACATCGGTTCCCATCTCCTTACTAGAAAAGAAATCTTGCTTTGAAGAAATACCTTGTTACCCAAGAATGGAGCTGTCTTCTCAGGAAACATCAAGTTTGCAGTCTGTGAGCCCGGGACTCCTGAGCGCCTGGCTTCCGTGGTTCCTCACCACCCTTATGATCTGGCCTCTTCGGTCCTCGCAACCCCAGAAGTCAGCACAGAACACGTCAGGGAACCGGGAGGGGAGGAGGGCTTCAAAGAGACAAAACTCGGCATTCAGCGACTCCAGTAACTTTCTCGCCTCTAAGCTTCCTACAGCCCAGTGTAGAACTGAATGAAACGTAATGAAGGAGAGGGTATCACCCACAGAGGCCGTTTTTCACATTTCCCTCTCACATGGTTGGTGCAGGGTGTGTTTCTCTGAGTGTCGCAAACAGGGTCTCTTCCTTTTCACACTCTTGTGACCATTTCTTGCATTTATCCAAATGTTCATCTTCTTTTTTGTTATCTCCTTTTTTATCATAATACTACCATGGTTTTATTTCCTTCTCTTTTCTCAGTGTTTCTTTTTTGTTGTTTGTTTTATTACAAGAATAGAAACAACTAAGTTAAAGAAACTACAAAAAACTTAAAACAGAATTTGTTCACTCCTACAAATATTTCAGCTTATTTTCTGGTAGTGTTTTTCTATGCATCTACGTTAGTGAGGTAGTTAGAATCACCTTGTACTTCAGTCTTCAGCCCGTACATTTCACTAGTAATATATTAAAATACTTTATCTTAAAGCTTCTCTACTTTTAAATGACTACATAACATCCCACTTCATTGAAGATGAAGTGGACATCTTCACTGTTATTTAACCAAATTTTCAGCAATAAGGTGTTTCTAACTTACCATTGCTATAAATAACTCTATGATAAACATCTTTATGAAATAAGCATTTCACACATTTTGGATTATTTTCTGAAGACAGCATCTTAGAAAAGAGCGTCCATATGACATGACATACTTGTGTGTCTAGATTTATAGAACCAAGTTGTTGACAAATACCAAATATTTATTGCATGTACAAATTCTATTCCTGCTTTCTGATTTAAGCTATTCCTATCAAGCAGTTTGGGGTTTTGGTTTTATTGGTTTGTTTAAGATTTTATTTATTTATCTTTAGAGGGGAAGGGAAGGAGAGAGGGAGAGAAATATCAATGTGTGCTCACCTCTTGTGAGTCCCCTGATAGGAACTGACCTGCAACCCAGGCATGTGCCCTGGCTGGGAACTGAACCACAATCCTTTGGTTTGCAGGCCCTCGCTCAATTCACGAAACTACACCAGCCAGGGGCTCAAGCAGTTTGTTTTTAATACTTTATCCAAATGACTCTGATCATCCAGTAATCTTTACTCACTGTTATTCTAGGCAGACTTCTGAAATGAGCAAAACCAGGGGCTGTGGATAAAATACTACCCTCAGGTAATGTATTTCCCCTTTAAACCTATACCCCCTACTCTCAGCCCTCAGCAAATGAAGCCAACAATGAAAGGAAACTCTTCCAGAAGTTCTATTAGTATTCTTTTGTTCAAATCATGTCTCCCCTCCACATCCACACAGAGCTCCAGAACAATCACTGGCCTTTCTTGGAGCCCAGTGTAATCTGCCAACGAGTCAAGCTGCCACACCCAACAGAACTCTTGGATAGGATCAGGAATGGAGAATGACTTTCAGGTGTCACAAAAGGAAAGACAGCATTTTATCGGAGAATTAGCCACCATCTATGGCTGGAAGGCACCACACCTCCAAGGTGAATGTCAAATATTAGCTTACTCAGAGCAATAAACCCCTCCCCAAGTCAAAGCTGCTGAGATATGAACCAAGGAAATCAGCCAAGGCCTGACCTGCTCCAGCCTTCAGTCCCAGAGGCCTCTGTGTTGCCACTCAGTCACCAGCCCTAAGTGAGTCTCTTCTACCTTATTTGTAGGTCACAATAGCTGCCCTGTCCTGAGTGCTTCCTAGGTTTCTGGGCCAATGGTGGAAATGTTACAGACATTTATAATCCTCCCAAGAAGTCTAGGATGGAGGTGTTTGTATCCTGAATATCAGGTGAAGAAATGGAGGCTCAGGAATGTTAAGCCACTTTCCCACAGGCTCAGCCAACCAGGGGCAGCCCTGAAACCTAACATTGGGCAAGGTCTCCCAGGATTGCCAGAGCACAGAAGCCTGCCCCTCTGAAAAAGAGGGCTGCACTCCATCCCTGCAGCACCCCTGCTCTGCTCCAAGCTGGGACTCTGCTGCACAGCTGGCCCTTGCATCTCCTCAGCATTTGTTCAAATTGCTATGACCAGTTACCAGGGTACTTAAAGGCAGTTAATGTGAGTACTAGCAGGAGACTTGGAGAGGTCATTCCAATCTGCTCACTCTGTAATCTTTGAAGCCAATAGATATTTGAGAAGCAAGTCACCAGATTATAATTTTAAAAACAAAATTGCATTAAAATTTGATTACCAAATTTAATTTATCTATGAGGTAAAGTCCTGGGCCCTCTTCGTAATTCCTTTTCACTTTTTGAACTACAAATCCTTAACCCCCCTTTTCTCAGATTGGAAATTGCACTGAGAGATTGTTAGGGTGGCTCCTGACCAGCTGCTCAACCCCAAGAGATGAACGTCCAGCCATCAATGGGCACCCAGGGCTGTTCTCTGTAAGTACCCACTGCCCTGTGCCCAGGGATACCTGGAAGAGCAGCTGGGGCACAGCCCTCACCCAGGAGTGCCTGGCTTGGGTCATGCTATGCCTTTCCTGACTGCTTTTTGCCTGGTCCCTGGTTTGCTTCCCAGTGCTCTCTGGGTCTTGGGGCCTCCCTGTACCCTATCCATCTTCCCTTGCTCTGGCACTCCTGTCTTCACTCCATGCCCTCACATTAATTCAGATGTGCCTCTCTGATCAGTGCCCTCCCAGGACCAGCCAACCCCTGAATATTGGTTCCAGCCTGGCACTGACGTTCTCTAGGGCCCATTTCCTGTTTTTTCTGCGAGCCCATTTCTCGGGACAGCTCCCTCTTCCCTTCATCCTTGCTTTACTTCTAATACAGTCCCTGGAGGGTCCAAGCTGCACCTTATGCTCTTATTCCCTCACCCCTTCCTTTCAAGTTCATCCCCTGCCCTGTCTGTCCCACAGCAGCTGAAGTAGTTGCCTGTAGAAATCTCCAGAGTAGGGGGAGGTGCCACTGCTTCCCATCTACCATATTTTGCTGCGTATAATGTGCACTTTTTTGCCCAGATTTCTGAATGAAAAATAAAGATGCATATTATACATGGGTAGTACTAATTCTGTATCTATATAAATGTTTTTAATTCTTTTATTTATGCTTATGCATTAAAAGTATAATTCTACAGAAAGCAATAATGATATCTTATGCAAAATAATACCCTGGAATATGATCATTGGTTTTGTTTCTAAATATAAATAAGTAATTGAATTAAAAAGTTAAAACAAAAGGTGTTTTTTCCTGAAAGTTTAGGCCAAAAATGTGAGTGTGCATTATACACAGCAAAATACAGTAATTCTCAGCCACCTTTTTTTTAACTGGCTACCCAGATGCCTCTGAACTGTACCTTTTAACTATGCCAAGGCAAATGCTAAGATTAGATGATTTAGTCCCTTCTGCAGTGACCTGTGATTCTCAGATGTGTGTGGCAGCAGCTGAGATTCAGTACACTTGAAGAGAGGGACTCAGTTTCTGGGAGCATTCTGGTCCACTACACAGGGAGGTGAGGACCTGTGTGCCTGTTACTGAACACAGGGTGAGGTCTGTGTTAGTAGTTAGAATGGACAGAAGAAGGAACTAACCATTAATGGTGGGTGTAGGAAGATGCACCAGATATCCAACATGAATTGGATAACTTCTTGGCCGATTGTCATACAGAAAACCTTATTGCTGGACCCGATGGTCAAATAAAAGGACCAATTTTAAGGTTTTACAATTTAACAAAAGACCTGGCTTTTGCAGTCATATTACTTCATCACTGAGCTTACCTCGACTCCCATTTAAACTTAGGCAACAGGATGACCTTGTGAGAGTTCTGATTACCAAGCAGCCAGAGGCATTTTTTCTGGTCTTCTGGTCAACCCTTCAGTTCCTTAAAGCTACCAAATACCAATATCAGTGGCCTCTCTTGATTCTGGCCAGAGAATTAAGCTCAGCCCTAAAGAGACTTGAAATAGAATACTTAAAAAGAACTTGGACATTAAAGTTCCAAGACTGAGCAGAAGGGAAGGTATTTACTAGAGATTGCAAACCGATGCCTTTGACTCAACTTAAATATCTTCCCCCTGGACGATGTTTTTTCATCTCAAACAGCATGCTAGTTTTGGTGTTGGTATTCTATATGTGTTTACTTACAGTTACAACTGCTGTATACCATGAGAGCAGAAATGCCTCGCCTTTCCCATATTCTCTGAGTGGTGCAGTGGGGTTGAGTGGTGGCCAGCCTCCAAAGAGGTATGTCCAATTCTTAACCTGAGAAACCTATGAATGTGATGTTATTTGGAAAAGGATTTTTGTAGACACAATTAAATTAGGGATCTCAAGATGCAAGCATCCTGGAATTTCCCACTGGGCCCTACATCCAATGACAACTGTCCTTTAAAAAGGCACACTAACGAGAGACACACAGAGAAAAGAGCACAAAATCACGTGAGGACAGAGGCAGAGACTGGAGTCACACAAGAAACAAGGACTGCCTGGAGCCACCTGGAACTGGGAAGAGACAAGAGAATTTCCTCCCTTAGAGCCTTCGGAGGGAGCAGCGCCCCCCTCCCCCCGCCAAGAACCTTAGTCTTGGACTTCCAGCCTCCAGAACCATGAGACAATCCATTTCTGTTGTTTGAAGTCACCCCATTTGTGGTAACTTGTTGTGGATACAGGTGGCTATAATTCTGGTGTTTGTATTACCACCAGGACAAGGCTTAGCAGAACCTCTGGATCTGGAATGTCAGACTAAGGGGATCTGCGTGGACATTTTCAAGTTCAAATTGGCTACACTCCACACCTCAGCCTTCCCAGATCACGAGACAGTTGAGATGACCGAGGAGACTCCCCCATTTACAAACAGCAGAGCTTACTATCTGTGCCTCTGCTGTGTCCCCCAGACACCAGGGAGGCAGCCACTGCTGGCCAGCTTTCAGGCGTCAGCTTTGCTCTGGAGAGTAGTGGCTTTGACTCATGACCTGACACATTATCTGCAGAAGCAGAAAAAGGCCACGTAAGGAGTGGACAGGAGTCTAGCTTCTACGGTCCAGACAAAAGCAACAATAAACAGGCAAAAGTGATCACCCTATTACCCTCTTTGTCTCCGATTCTTTCATGGACACCTATCCAACTGCCCACCATGGGCCCGCACTCAAGCACCCTGAGTCCCCGAACCACCAGCAGGAACGCTGGCGTCCTCTCCCTTCACCCTGTGCCTACAGGGTGAGCCCCGGGGATGTGGAAGTGAGCAAGTCACTGTGTTCAAGGGACGAGAAGTGTGGACTCAATCACTCCTCCTTCCTTCTGTCCCAAAGGCCAGCCGGTGCCTCGGTCTCTCAGTAATACCCCTGCCCCTCCTTTCTTTGAGACTTCTCTCTGGGACAGGTTCTGTCTCCCTGGGACCTTTGGATTTTCAGATTTTACTGCTTAACAAGTAAGAGGCAGGGGATGAAGAACATATATCTCAGGGAAGACTTGGAAAGCCTCTAGATCATCAGTCCCCGCTTTTCTGGCACCAAGGACCAGTTTTGTGGAAGATGATTTTTCCACGGACCAAGGTGGGGTGGGGGCATAGGTGGCTTCGGGATGATTCCAGCACATTACATTTATTGTGCACTTTATTTCTATTATTACTACATTGTAGTGTATAATGAAACGGTTATACAACTCACCATACTGCATAGCAATGGGAGCCCTGAGCTCGTTTTCCCGCAACTAGATGGTCCCAACCGGGGCTGGTGGGAGCCAGCGCTGCCTACAGTGTGTTGCTTACGGCTGGTTTTCTCCATCTCAGTTTGGCTGCAGTCACTGCAGAAAACCATACGGACAAAGCTTCACTCCCCCACAGGCCGCTCACCTCCTGCTGTGAGGCCCGGTTCCTAACAAGCCACAACCCCACCGGGTTGGGGACCCCTGCTCTACTTTCCTGTCCTGCAGATGGCTCTTGGACCAGGGTTCCTGAGTTGTCCGGCAGTGAAGGCACTACCTGCCTGTTCAGGTATCTGTCCTCTATTTTCACTATACTCAGGCGGTTGAGGTTTCTAAGCTCTGACATTCTGGCTGCAATTAGTGCATCCTTGGGGCTGGTCCTCAGGTGAAACAGGGCTAGGATTTGCCTCTTTTCTCTGGAGTTGAACATTTGCCTCTCCAAATACCTATCTGCTAGAACACTCCATGTTCCGGATCTAATCTCGCCCTGTAAGAAGGATTTAGGGCTAAAGAGGAATCAGGGAGAAGCTGTGGGATTCCAGAGGAATTACCTACTGTTACAAGACCCACATCAGGTTTCCTGGTGGTGTTTGCAACAGGCTTAAATTGAGACCCATGGCTTAAGTGTATCAACAGAGGTAGGATTTTACTGTTTAAGCCTGATTTTTAAAAGGAGGAATTAACTTAAAGGAATTAATCTTTAGGAAAGTTTGAAGACACAGTGGAGATTTGGGGAGGTAGCCAGACTTCTGCCTCAGTCACATGAGGCAGGGAACCTGCCTGCACCCCACAACTTGCTCTTCCCGGCACCGGCTCCCCAGCAGCTCCCAGTGAGTTCCTCTGAGCTTCACAAGGGCTGTGGCCAGAAAATGCTCACCCTGGTTGTTTATCGGGAAGCATCTAGCCCAGCACCTCTCAAGGTCAGTCAACGCACTGACAGTGTCAACACCACCTGGGGCACCACCCGGATCGATAGCATCAGAATCTCTGGGGTGAGGCTCTGCAGTGTTTTAACGAGTTCTCCAGATGGTGAGAGGCCACATGAACATCTGAGAATTAGTGGTTTAGGGGACCTTGGGCATGTCACCTCTCTGTTCCTGTCCACAAAATGAAGAGCTCAACTTGGGAATCCTCAGTGGAGCCTTGAAGCGCTATCACTCTGTCATGTTACTTCAGATCATTGTAATCTCTCCCTGTGCATTTTCTCCCTCATTCTGATGCACGGGTATTAAAAGGTAAAAGGGAAAATTTTGAGAGCCAGGCCACAGGGGGAGCCATGCCCACTCTCACCCTGAAGAAACGAGGCACCGTTAGTTACAATGAACACATTGAATATTTGACTACGCAGGTATGGATTTCTGAAACTCGGAAACGCATACCCTGTTGTATATGTAAGGGAAGAGTCTGGTGTAGACTATAGTGCATTAATATGGTGCAGGCAGAACAAAGACACCTCCCTGCTGCTTCCTCACTGGGTCAAGAGCTGCTGGTCGCCACGGTGACGGTGAGCACCCCCGGCACCCACACTGTGGGTTTCATACACGACACCCAAATGAAAGAAGCCAGAGCTGCCCACCAGAGAAACACAAGTGAGGGAGAGGAGACATTTCAAGCTTTTAAAAGATGTAATAAACAAATCAACAAAAATACTGTTTAGGCTTTGCTTGGAACCCCACTCAAAACACCGACTGAAAAAAAAATGATGAGGCGATCAAAAATGTGAGCACTAAGTGGCAATTTGGAGATATTAAAGAATACTAAGAAAATAGTATTATAGTTATGTTTTTTAAGGCTCCTTCTCTTTGAGAGATACATGTCAAAATATGTGTGGATAAAATGATGTTACATCTGGAGTTTTATTCAACATGATTCAATTCTGGGGGTTTGGAGGAGGTAGGATAAGTCAAACCAGAACGGTCATGAAGCAAATCGCTGCAGCTGCCTGTAGCTGGGTAACCGGACAGGGGAGGACCTTGCTCTCCATTGTGCTGTGTAGTTCAAGTTTTCCATCATGGCACTTTTCATTAGTAATATGAAAAGCATAAAGGCAACACATATTTCCCCTGCCCAAAAAGACAAGCAATGGTGAAAGACATCTTTCCATATACGATTACATTTAATGCCTCCGAAGGCAATGCTGCCAGTGGAGCGTCCTCCACCTCACCAGCGTGCTCGTTGTCCCTGCGCTCGGGCTTTGGGCACAAAGAGTCCACACGGCGGAACCAAAGCTGAGGGAACACTGAGTGCCTCATGCTGGCATTCGAATACTGTTCACGCAATAACAGATTGTCTACGTGGAAGATGAGGGGCCAGGTGACGAACAGCAGACACACCTGAGTCCCTGCAATGGTGCCGCAGCTCCTGCATCCCCTGCCCACGGTCTCCCCAGCCCTTCAGTGTTTACCAGGCCCACGGAGAACCCCGATCTTCACTCTGTGATTGTCTGACCTTTGTCCCTGGCAGGGAACACAGAGTCCAAGACTGCCCTTCAGAGACACCTCTTTCATCTGTGCTTGCAGTGGGTTGCGTTTGCAAGGGAAGGTGACCTGAACATCAATGGCTTTCAAATCAGTGGAAATTAAAATAACAGTAAGATCTTTTTCCTCTTTAAAATGAGGAACATATAATATTGTGACAGCCTTCAGTGCTGGCAAAGAGGAGGTGACAGGGCTCATCAGAGTTGCATTTAGTACCACGCTTCTAGCACCCTGAGCAACGAATGAGCAACGTACAGCAGGTTTGCAGACAGTAGTAGGGCCAGTAGCTTCTCCTCTAGGAATCACTAAGAGCAACACTGCAAGTGTCCAAAATACACACACTAGATGCACGGAGAGTTGCTGACGGTGAGTTATGCCACAGCCACATGACCTACTATGCCACCAAAATAATGCTTAGGAACAAGTGGTAAATAAAATAGAAAATCCCTGTGGTAGAAAAGACTGCTTCTACACTACAATCTCTACCATAAATATGAATATGTGTAGTTATTGAAAGTGACTGTATCAAATATCTAAGAAGGGTTGCTTTGGGCAGTTGGATCCTGAATTTTCTTTCTATCTGTATACTTTTTCCATGTTTTCCAAATTTTCTACCAGAACAAGAATGCTGTTTTCATGGTCATAAAACTATTTTTAAGCTCTTAGTTCTTGTAATGTTTTCCTCCACCATGCACACGGCCCTGTGTTGGTTTGCTGCCTGACCATAATGACGTCGGTGACAAAACAATAGCTTTGGTTGCACCCAGACTGGTGCTATGGCTTGTGCACCCACATGCAGTTCTCCTTGGCTCAGCTAAACTGCAGTCTCTAACACCTCCGTCTCCAGGCCATTTGAAAGATAAAGGAGACACTACATATGTATAAATCTTTATGATCGTTTAAGTTCACCAGCTTCTGCGCAGGTGACGTGTTGGATGAGACGCCATGCCTGAACAGGCACCACCATCTATGACACGTGGCAGAAGCGGCAGCCATTATTAGTTATTACTTATGCCGTCAGATGCTTTAAGCAGGTGTTTTGGCACTGACATATTGTTGCTGCTCTAGCAACATGATGTCAATGGTTCTATGAGGACAGGACCCTGCCTGCAGTGGCTCAATACCCTCAATAAGTCTCCCTGTCCCCACCCACCAGTTTCCTGAAGTGGCCTACCTGCCTTGTGAGGCCAGGGGCCTTGCCTGCAAGTGCTGCCTTTCTCTCAGGCATCCCATCATGGCTCCTTCCCCAGGTCCTCTTCAAGGTCTGCTTTAGTTTTCCTTCCTTTCTGCAAGTGGCCCCTCCCTTTGTGACTGCCCTGTTCGTGCCCACATTCAACCCAGGAGGAAGCAACGGTCCTCCCTGGAACAAAAGCACAGTTGGTAGAACACCAGCTCTCTGCTTCCCTGGGACACGGGATGTGCAGGGCCAGCTGTTTTGCCAAGTACTTCGTCAGGAGACAGTGTGGAAGGAAAGCTGACAGAATCAGAGATTAGACTCAGAGCTCAGTTCCATGACTAACTCAGTTCTCTACCTGGGTGCCACCATCTCTCCTCATCTTGCTTCTATGTGGTTACTTATAAACTGATCCCCTTAAATCTGCTGGGCAGCTAGGGTGCTCTAAATGAGCTAACTTATAGATGATCCAAACATCGTCGAGATCATATATTATCTAAGAAGTCGTACCTACTCGAATGTTTTTTTTAGTTTAGGAAATTTATTTTGTATCTAGACACTTCCTGTATCTAGACACTTTCAGCACTATACACAGAATTCACACTCTTGTCCGGCAAGGCAGTCTCTGGTACTGTTAGACAAAAATCATTGCTGGAAAGTTCTTTATTATGTTGTACAGAAATCTGCCTCCCTAGATAATCCTACCATAGTTATAGTTCT